AAAAAAAACATGAATTACTGAAATATATATTGCTTGCAAACAGGGAGTCCCACCAAATATGAGCCCACCCTCATAACGTTTAAACGGTTCCCGATATCAACTTGCAGATTTCGCTCAACAATGCGAAATCATCGGACAAGTGATATGGTTTAGAGATATTGATTGAAATTTGTTCAGTTTTCGACAAATTTAATAATCTTTGATATTTTTAATAGAACCATATATTTTTTCTCACTAGCAGTAGATAAACCATGCAATGATGTTACATATGTTAATATTTGATAATATTTTGTGTATAAAATTAAATTTTCTGACCTGGAATATTAAATTAAACATGCAATTTTTCCTGTAGCTACCGTCGCTTTTAGCGAGCGCGACCTTCGCGCCTTCTCCAACTCTCCCCGTATAAATGCCGTCGCCGCGAAGGCAACCTTTCCCAATGGAAAAAGTTGAAAGCGTTGCTACAGGAAATCTTGTATATTTAATTTAAAATCACATGACGGAAAGTATGACTTTATTCTCAAAATACTTTCAAAACATTAACACATGTTACACCATTGCATTTGTTTATTTATGACCTATTGCAAGTGAGATAAATACACGGCTCCATTTAAAAATTAAGGATGATTAAATTTGTCGAAAACTAAAAATATTTGAAACAATATCTCTGCACGATATCACTTGCCCCAAGAGTCCGCATTGTTGAGCGAAAACTACATTTCGACATCGGGAATCGTTTAGAAGTCTTGGGGGTGGTCCATAGTTCATTGGACTTTATATTTATATTTATTTAGTCTAAAAAGCGTCAAAACTGTGTGACGTATGGGGGAGAAAATCATCTGTGCACGTTTTCTTCAATACCAGAATTTTTTTATCATTTTAACTATAAATAGTTGAAAAATGATTAAAAGTTAAAAAAACAAAATAAAATTTAAAAAAGCGCAAGATTAGCAATATTTGAAAAAACTAGACATTTTCGTTCCCCAGTTATAGAAAACTTATTTGCATCCGTAAAAGAACAGCAAATTTGATTTTTCTGCATTGCTAACAAAATAGTAACTCACCCTTACCTCTACTCCTTCCACTACAAGCAACAGGAGATTTCAATAAAACGTGCGCATAGTGAAGCTACATTAATGTCTAGTAGCAAAGCAAGGAGGTATCTCAGCATTTGCTCAATGGATCAGGGGAACTGGACACACACCTGATCGAGATGGGGTAATTGACCCGGAAGCTGAAGTACATTATTTGTTACGGGCACATTAAGTCTTTTTATATACAATTATACAACACAAATGTACACTAATTCATTATAGATCACTGTTTTGTTAAAGTACACATGTTTTTTTCTTTGTCGTGACCAGTGCAGTCTCTAATTGTATAGACACAGTTATGCAGCAAAAAATATTTTACTTTTAACTTAAATTTGTGTATAGACTTCAGTTGTTTAATGTCATCTGGCAATGCGCTGTAAAGTAACGTATGTGGATTGTATGTGTATTGTATGTGGATTTCTGGTAGTGAGCTGTTGATACAGACACTTGATGTACGTGATTTCTGCGACGTGTGTTGCAATTATAAATATCAGCATTGCATGAAAATATGTTTCCACCGTTAAGTAAGTCAGTTTTGACAAATATAACACATTCGTAAATAAATAAGCAAGGCAAAGGTAAAATTCCAAGCTCAATGAAGAGAAGCTAATTTAAAAGTCTCGGTATTACATGACGAGCTTCCCCCAGAATATTGTGATATATCTCGGGCGGGAATGTTGATTTGCTATATTCATGCAACGAGCTGTATGAAGGCTGACAGAGTTTGAAAGAATTGAGAATGCACAATGAATTTAATTTAGTGTTTAATTCTGTTATATGTACATTCCACTTGAGATTTCACTGCATTGAGAGACCAAGATTTTTTTCTTTAACATTAGCTAATTGCATATTGTTCATTTTCAATGGAGCATGTAGTTGCAGATTTGAAATGCAAAAATGCATTGAAACGTTTTTTCGTTAACTATTAATTTGTTATTACTAAATCAATTTTGAAACTTCTGAAATCGTACGTTATTGTTTCTTTTTTTCAAAGAACATTCGTGTCATCGGCAAACAACTGTTTTTAATAGACGAGGGCATATCGTTTACGTATAATAGAAAGAAGATAAGATAATTCCACCTCGTACAGATTTTGTGCAAAATAAAATAAATAATAAAAAACATTTATTTTTTACAATAAACTAAATATATTTATTATCTTACAAGTAGTAACAAAATTGTTTCTTATATTTGTACGCAATTTCAGAACTCTTTTTTTCCTGTAAAACCTTTCCTTTTTTTATGATATTTCTCAGAACTCGTTTCCGGTTTCCTTCTTTGGTTTCTCGATTGAGCATCGAACAGTAGTCAGCTCACATATTGACATCCCGTTTTCCTTAGAAACGTTTCTCAAAATAACGATCATCCTGGTGAAATCTTTCTCCCTGTTCTTCATTATAAGTTCCCAGTGTTTGAGGAAAATAGTCAATACGAAATGAACTTTTTTAAGCTCATCTTGCATCTTTGAGCTCCATACTCTGCAAGCATGGTTAGTACAATGGTTTTATAGTCACGGTTCTTAGCATTCCCCCAAAACTTGTGCACTAAATTCTTGAAAGAGTCCCATGCTTCTTTTTCCTCGTCCCCCATTGTGTAAATAGGGTATCCGTTAAACGTTTTCTTATAACGGTATCAGAGAAAACTCCCTCTTTTATCTTAGCTTGAGATAGTTTTAGAGAACTTGGCACACATATCTGAAACAATCCTTTTCTCTTGACAGTGATTTGACAAACTGCTTTATAAGCCCCAATTTAATATGAAGAGGTGGTAAAAATACTTGTTCTGTGGGATCCAAGATCGTATCGATGACGTTATTCTCGCCGGGGGTTGAACAAAATATCCCATTAACAAACAAATCGATTGATGCTCTTGATAACTGATTTTCTCAAGAATGGCTCCCCTGGTAACAATAAGTTTAAGTACAGTCGACTCCGGATCTAGTGAACTCGGATATTGTGAGCTCTCGCTCGTAGTGAACCAAAGTCACTGGACTCGTTCACATTAACATTACAAATAAGGATAAGAAAATTCGGTTGAAGTGAACACTGAACCTTGGCTATAGTGAATGTAGGAAATACGCCCTGGAAATTAATTCCCTCCTGAAAAAACAACATATCGCCTCAGTGCCACAAATTCCAATTCTAGGCAGCTTGGAAAAAAGGTCGTCCAAAGGTCATTGTTCGGGCCCACGGCAAAGCAGTATAAATATAATTTAATTTCATACGACGCAAGGCAGAACAGCTGATCTGTAACCGGCAAAACATCCGACCGTTGCGTCGCCGGATTACGACACCGGAAACCGCCCTCGGCTTTCCCAGAAACACACGTGCGAGCCTCGCCTCCCTCCGCCCGTTAGCAGTTCGCGAGTGAATGTTCTATCGCCAAATTCAAATAGCTAATTGTGATTGACCACTGCCATCCGCTCCCTCTAAGCGCACGAGCACTAGCTATTTGGCGATGCTCCCGTCGTTAAACCAATTCACATCCGCACAAGCTGCGCGCGAAACCACACGGGTGGTCCGTGATGGGGGGGGGGGACTCCGTGTGTAATTAACATACGTAAAAGTTTACTGTCCAACCTCGGGCTGTTCCCAGTTGGTACGTGCAACTTGCAAGTGTACTGTCTGTGCAGTGTAGGTTTTCTGCATCAGACCACTTGGACGTTCAGTTCATTCTGCTATCTCGGGCTGTTCCCGGTTAGCACGCGCAAATTATCATTTTATTTGAGCGAAGTAGGGCTAAACCCAGTTTGTGCGCTACAACGAATTCCACCTCTGCGGTCTGTATAATTTAAGTTATTTGCACTTGACTACTCGCACCAAGAAATTTACTAGTACCGTGCCCCAGCTATCATGTACTGTGATGTTGTAACTGTGTCATGAAATCAAGTGCTTAAGTACAGTGGTTATTAAATGTAGTTGTGCAAGAACTTCTTTTCTGTTTACAGAACTCCTACATAAATCCTCCCTGAGCTATCAAAGGGTTTCGGGACTGCTGTGCTCCGCCTTCACCTCATTAATATAGTCCACTTCAAAACATCCAGAATCAAGCGCAGAAGCCCGAACAGTCATTAGTCATAAGAAGTCTCTGAAATGGAGGTAGCGGATCCGGAGTGTTTCATTCTGCGATCAGTTTCATTAGCCGTCTCCGCCATGCCTCTACCGAAAGGATCGCGTATGTTACTTATTTTAATCAGAAATTGAAATAACAGATAACACATTTTAATCAAATTTTAATTATATGACAAAATTCTTCTAAAAATCAATGGGATATATGAGCTTTTTTCTTCATCAACAATTGTTGATATCTGGGTTCAATATTTAAAATTGCGACTCGCAATTCTTTTTTGACGTTCAGTATCGATCTCAACCAAATGCAAGTAGATGTATGCTCGCGTAGGTACGAGAACTCTTGATCTGTATGGATAGAAAGATGAAATATCCCTGACATACGCTAGGGATGTATTATAGGCCCACGTTTTCTCGTGACCCGGAATACCTACCCCCCCTCCTTGGCCAACATCATTTGAATGAAGAATGATAGCAACGAGCGTTGTAGACACAATCTGATAACCATGAATTTTCGCTCCCGTGTAATAGAAACTATTGTGCTACGAAAAACGAACCACAACTCTGAAACAAAATTCCTTTTGTCCTCCCCATTATATATATATATATA